TCAGATGTAGGTCTACTTGTGAAAGATGGAGGCGGAGGCTCAATATTAATTATTTCTGCGCTTCTTTCTTCATCACCTACAATAATTATTAATTAAATTGTTTTATTATCAAATATTATCTATACATATATCACAAGATAAAATATTAAAATTACTCAAACATGGCACAAACAATTCAACCAATTGCTGGTACAAAATACAAATCAATTTTTGCACATATCTGAAAAGAGGTAAAAAAAAATTACTTTGTGAATAGTTAAAAACGGGCTTTACAGGCGCCCGAGCCCGAGCCCGTTTTTCTAGGGCTAAAAGGGCCGGGCTTTGAAGCCCGGTTATCCTAAAAAATGCTAATTTTTAAGGCCCAAACTCTTATTAAAACGGACTTAAACGGGCGGTCCGTCAAGCCCGGCCCTTATTCCCGACTACGGTTGCGCAGGAGGAGGAGGCCGGGGAGGATGGCGCGTGGGATTGGAAACAGAAGAGCCAGTAGCGTTGGAGATACTCTTTGGGGCTGGCGCGTGCGCGTGCAGGTGGCCCCCCATCCCTTTTTTTTCCCCCACTTAACAGCCGCGTGACAAGTTCGTAGTGCTTTTTGTGCTGTTCCTCTGACACCCGTAAGAGAATCCAAGGAATTCGCTTGACAGTGACAATTATATTTTTATTTTTCTTTTTTCAAATATAGGAAAGTCTTTGGCTCATCACGCTTCTCTCATCTCTCTACATCTTTGCGTTGCTTCTGCTTCTACCTCATGAGACGAAACGCACCCTCTCACTTTCCTATTGTCTCTCTAGTCTTTATACATCTGTCTCTTCTCTGGTCAAGATGATAAGGCGCTTATGATCATCCAAAAAAAAAAAAAAAATTATACCATAATACTAATGGTATTATAGAATTAAAAAAATTTATACCATGCTATTAATATTATAGTAAAAATATATTTTTTTCATCTCAAATTATAAGATTTTTTTAAACAAAATCTTACATACTAATAAACTTTATTAAATATACTTAACAATCTTATCTTTCTAAAATAAAAATATAAACTTTAAAAGTGCCTATCATTTAATACATTGAAATGAGAAGGAATGAAAAATTAATTATAGAAAGAGAAAGGATAATATTAAAATTAATGCATTCAATAAAATTTTAAATATTCAAAGCGTTTTATATTTTAAGATGAAAAAATTCGTTTAAAAGTACTTTATAATTTAAAATGAAAGGAGTAGTATGTAGTTTATTATAGTACATATCTTATTTTTTTCTTGGGATGGTGCATGTTAGGGTGGAGCCAAAAAAATTTTCAGTCAGCCGAGACAATAAGGTGTACATGATAATTGAAGGGAAGTTAAATTTATATATATCACCAATATAATATAATTATTTTAGCATATATTTTTTATTTTGTTTTACAAATATATAATAAAGATAAATATATATCTTCACTTTTCAATTTTATTTATCAATTTTTCATTATATAAAAATAATTAATTATCATATTTATAATAAATATTTTAGTAATTTCTCTCTCAATATAAATTATCATTAAATTAGTGAAAATTTTCTTTTCTATAACATTGAATGATTTAAATGCATAACTAAGATCTAAAGTTTTCTTGAATCTAACAAGCTTTATTACTTGCCTATTATTAAATCTATTATTTAATTTTTTTCAATTGATAATCATGGTAAATAAATATATTCATATGATAATTATGTTCAATTGTAACAAAATATTTATGTCAATTATATTTTTTATTTCCATACTTGAGAGAAAAATTCTTTGTAATAATTCTTATAATTTTTTCATTAAATATAAAATGAAAGAAAAATCAAATGACATCGATAATTTAAAAGCATGTGTAGCATTATCTTGTTAAGAATATGTAAATTCTATGAGAATTTTTTTAAAAAACTATTATATTTTAAAATAGAAATTGCTACTTGGATTTTAAGATAGATGTAGAAATATATCTTGGAGAAAATTTTTTTTCTTCAATTAATTATGCGGGGAGTATATTTAATAAAATTGAAAAACTAAAATAAAAGAGGGTAAAAAGCGTTATAAAAGGCTGGGTTGGAGTTTTTTGGTTTCTTATGTTATCATCTCCGTAATTCATATTTGTTGGTGTAGGTTCATGAACTGGCTGATTCAAATTAGTTAGCAAGGTTCTTAAAGCACATCTTTCACCGAGGAAAAGCCAAGCATTTGGCGATTAACTTTGTCCACATGGAATGAGCAAAAACAAGGAAGGGGCAAGTTGTAAAATTAGAAGGCAGCCTAAGTGATATTCACTTCATTTTTATTTATAAAAAAATATTAATTTTAATTATTTTTATATAAAAATTATACTTTTAATAAGCATTTATTAAAAAAAATTTAAATTACTCCTTATAATTTGATCATTCATAATCATAAAAAATAATTAATAAAAAATATATAATTAATTTTTTTATTTTTAAATATAATTAATATAATTAATTAATTTTTTTTTAAACTGTATGATATAATTTTTTTTTATAAATAAAAAGGGAAGGGATAGTGGATTTTTTAAAAAAAACAAAGCAAGTGAGCTAAATGTGTTGACCAGTTTCTGTCTACTTGAATACTTTGGGTCAATCAAATTAAAACCCAGAGCTGCGAGGACGGACCTAATGTCCAAAGCCACCATGATACCCTTTTGTTTTTTAGGCTTAACTGTTTATTGATAAAATGACAAATAATTGAAATACAATTAAATTCAAAAAAGTAAAAAAAAAAAAAAAGTCTTAACTATTTATTCCTGCTTCTGCCCAATTTATCTTCCCTGCCCATTGAACAAGCTAGACCAGACCACGTGAAGATACTAGAAAGCAGATGGGTCGATGCCCAATACGAAGACATATAGACATCCATCCATGCACATGTAAGGCTTACGTTGAAATAGCATCGAAACTGCTTCATTTTCCACATCTTGCACCAGTGGCTTGGGAAGTCAGTCATGCTTTTGGCTACTGAGACAGTTGAATGCCTACACGGCTTGTGCGTTGAAGGATTGAAGAAAAGAAACCCATTCAATCCCAAAACCCTGGAATTCGAATCCTTGTTCTTGAGGAATTAAACACACCTGATCTTTTTTCCCATTTTGGATAACTGTAAGCAGTAGGCTGTTTCTGATTCCTGGAAAAGAACAGAATAAAACAAGTGATTAAAATTGTGCGAATTGAATCAGCCATAAGTGGCATGGTTTGCTTTTGTCGCAGCCCCACCTCCAAAATGACATTTGGAAGGTGGGGGTTCTGGCAGTCTCCTTTTATTTGTGATTGGCTCTCTTTTTGACAAAATAAATAAATAAATAAATTCATAAGTAATTATTCTTAAATTACAAGTCACAGTGCATAAATTCACAATATTATCTATTTATTTAAAATTAACTTTTTATAATTTCATTTTTAAAAAATTCATAATTAAGTGATTATTCTGAAATTCGCAAGTGAAATATGCATAAATTTATGAGATTATATATATTTATTTACAATTGATTTTTCATTAATTCAAAAGTAAAATTTCTTAAATTCATAGCTAATTAATTTCTCTAAATTCATGAGTATCCTTCTACTATTAGTTATTTCAATAATTATTTCTTTTTAATTATAAATAAAATTTTAGTTCTCTTTAATATTTCAATATTTCTAAATTTCATATTGTTATTTTAATAAAATTATAAATAATATATGTTTCCCTTGCTTAGGACATCTAATTATCAATCCTAAAAATTAAATATAGGCAGAAAAAAAATAAATATATTATATTAATATCAATAAATTGTTAATACATATTAAAAAAAAGTGTCAACTAAAATGCATTCTTCTCTTGCATACTTCGCGCTAACAAATCTTGTTCGTTGCCATGATAATGACAGTAGGGAAGCCTAGCAAGATAGGAGTCAAAATGTACAGTTCCGTTGAAAACTTGAAATGGATTATTTTGAATAATTAATCCTAGATTGGATCCCTAGGGAAAACTCTTGAAGCCGATTGGTCGATCTATTAGTCCATTCTTATTGGTCAGACAATTTTATTATGAGATCATCTATTTTGATTTTTCATTAGTCTGTTTTCTTACTATAAGATCTTTATGATATAAAATGTCTTGCATGAATAATAGAACAGTCCTTATTGGTTAATTTTTTTTTTCTTTTTCAACTAAACAGTTTTTCGTGCATTAAAAAAAGTTTAAAACAAATATTATTGATGTCATTGATATCGACATATCTAAAATGGCTAAATTTTTAAAATTCCTCTATTCAATTATTATCCTTCTTTTTGGATATTTTATACACATCTTATCTTTATTCTTTGAAAAGGTCAAATATTTAATGATTCTATCATACATGATTGAGTTAGAAAAAATAGATAAATATCTTACATATAAGCTGATTCATTTTTTCAATATATTGTTCAGTTTATTCTTTAATTTTGTTTTTGAGAGAAAACTTTTTATGTTGATGATCACAAAGTTCACCGACGTTTCGTTTTTCTGATTTGTACAACTCCTTTCATTCGGGTCAATTTTTTAAACCAGACTTGACAAACTTTGAAGAATCATGTTAGATTTGTACGGTTACAATTTGATAGACAAACTATTTTAATGAATAATTATTGAGGATTTAAAACGCATTTAAAAAACATTGCACCAATGAGAAATTTCAGAGAGTCTTCAGACAAAGAGGTCCTAACAAAATATGCCTTACAAAATCACCCCAAAATGATGGTAAAGAAACAGAAGGATTGTAAACTAAATAAGATGAAATTGCATATCTAGGTTGATAGATGGTTGGGAGATTCACTTTTCTTTCATGATGAATCGACGATTCTTGGTGGAGCTAAAGTTTGGAGTAGACATGGCGCCAATTCCCACATTATTTTCTTCAACAGTTGATGAAGGATCACTCAGCCTCTTCTTCCCCTTTAGTTCATTCAGATTCTGAATCACAAGAGTTGCTTGGTCTCCTTCATCATCAATCCTTATATAGTACGTGTTTTTCTTTGATCCATACAATTCAGATGGGATAGACATCATCAATCCTTATATGGTACGTGTTTTTCTTTGATCCATACAATTCAGATGGGGTAGACATGATAGATGAAGTCATGCAGAGAATGAACTCCTAGGTGTAGAAAACTGTAGATGTGTGGAAGAACAATATCAATTCATTTAAGTTGTGTGGAGGGACAACCATAAATTAAAGATAACATGAGAAATGCTAGTAATCTGGAGGGCAATTTATGCTTGAATACCTGATTCTGGTCATTTTCATTTGTGGGATAGGCTGATTGATATATTGAGATAATAATAAAAAATATTTCAATAACAATACACGTGATTCAAATCCTACAAACTTAAGCAATATGTCTAATACATATTACAGTAATAATTTAGTAGCAAACTAAATTAAAATTAAAATTATATAAAATAGAATGGTGAAATTTGAATGAAGAAAACACTAACTAAAATTTCAAACTATTCAAATATATTAAAAATAATTAAAATCATATTAAAATAATTTTATAAGATCAGATTGGATTAAGTGATTTGAAAGCTTGGTCTCCTGTTCTGTCCAACCTGAGAAATTAGTTTGGTCTTTTTAATCTCTTTAATCTTTTAGATCAATTTTTTTTACTGGATTAAATAGGATAGGACTTGCTAGGGTTGTAATGAATTAGACAGGATGACTGAATTTTTACACTGCCCTGCTGTGGTTTTTCCCCCCTCCTAGGGGAGTTTGGCGTGTTTTGCCCCCTGAAAAGATATGTACACATATATGTATTGTGAGTACTCAACATCACAAGACGGGGACCTCATTTTTTTTCCTCCACTTGGTTCTATCAGTTTTTGTGTTGGAGCCTTGTAATTGAATTTTTTAATTATTTATCCAATTTTTACAAATTTTATTATTTCTCTTTAAATTAAAAATATATTAGAATAAGAACTGCCCAAAAATAATGATTTTGATTGAATATTTAATTATTTATCCTATTATATTTTAACATGCTTTATGGTGTAAAGCATAAAATAGAAAATATTTCTAGCTTTCTCAAAAAAAAATCAATATTAAAACATTAAAAACATTAAAGTATAAATGCAATAAAAATTACAAATAAAAAATTAACTAATAACACAGCGCGGAAAGGAAATATATGTGGTATAAAGTATTTTATGGGGAGATATTTTCTGATATAGAAGCCTCCGTGTGTCTCCATTCTAGCATTTTTTGTTTTTTTTTTTTTGGAATACAAAGGCCACGGCAAATCATTCTAGCATTTTCTATTCACTTGAATATGTCCTTTGGGTCAATCAATTTTTTTTTTTTGGAATAAAACTGAATACCATTCATAAAAGAAAACCTAAAGGAGACAAACAAACTACAAGAGAGTTCAAATCAATCTTCATCCATCCCCTACGTAAGTTTAACATGGTGGATGATCAAAAATGCAAAAACAACTCTTCTCAAAATGGGCTTTCCTAGCTAGCTTATGAGCAGCACTAATAATGTCTCTACAAACGGTCGATCAAATTCAAACACCAATGCTTCGAAGACCTAACTAAAAGTCCAAAACTGCAATCATACCCTTGTTTGTGGGCTTAACTATTTTTTCCTGCTTCTGCCCAATTTATCTTTACAATCCAGTGAACAAGACAACGTGAAGAAATAGTTCGGAAAGAAGAAACAAAATCATTTATTTCTACCAAAAAAAAAATCATTTCTTGGTTGCTGTCCTATACGAATTACGAAGACAGAAATTCGGCCATGCACACGTGAGAGACATACGTAAAAATAACATAGAAACTGCTTCATTTTGAACGCCTTACATAAGTGGCTTGGGAAGTATTAATTACTTGAAGATTCACGTTCAATCACCAATTCACCATTACATTTTTAATTGCATTGATAAAGCAAAGATCATTTACATAGTAATGTACAGTCTACAAAAGCATGCTGGCATGCTTGAGGCTTTTTGCCACGAGGGTCAAAAAGTAAACTGATTTTCACGCTACACAGTTTCTCTCAAGTGGGGGAAATGGAAGCACACGTTACACGGTGGCAAGGGATGAAAGATTGAAGAAAAGAAACCCAATATCCCAAAAACCTAGCTTCTTCCGATCCTCTTGTGGTTGCGCCGCTTCTGCCAAAGTGTGGGTTCGGGGATCTGATTGAGGTTAGTGCAATCGCGGTTCTTTGATTGTTTTTACTTTTCTGGCCTATAACAGAAATCTTAGTGCAATAACGGTTCTACTCTGCTTTTGGAATACGAATCCTTGTTCTTGAGGAATTAACACTGCTGATCTTTTTTTCCCTTTTTCGATTCTCTATTATGATTTAGCTGAGTTTAGCTTGCCTGTTTTTTTTTTTTTTTTTATAACTGTAGGCAGCAGGCTGTTTCTGATTCCTGGAAAAGAACAGAATGAGAGGTCTGATTCAGATACTGGTCCGAAATGAGTCCGTGATTTGGAAAGTTGTGTGACTTGTGTCAGCCATGATTGGCCTGGTTTGTTTTGGTCTCAGCTCCACCTACAAAATGTCATTTGGAAAGTTGGGTTCTGCGGGTCTTCTTGTTTATGTAGTGGTCGTTTTATTTCTGTGGCTCCTCACCTGGCGGGCCAAGAGAATTAAAGTTCAAGAAGGACTCCGAGGCCTTGTGGTAGCTCCATTTTTTGGTATCATCTGTTTGATCTCCGTAACGCATGATAAACTTCTTCTTGGAAAATCAGATGCGTTGAGCATTATCTCGTATGGTTGTTTTGGCTTGGTGTCGCTGTCCATGTCAGCGGAGAATGAGCTTTGAATCGAAACAGGGTTCTCCGGTTTTTTCCTGTCAATGTTTACCTCACAACTTGCCAAGATCAAATTGGCTTTCTCAGCCACTGCTATAGCTTTCAGCTCGGTCGTCATTTTTCTTCGCTACTACTTCCCCGAATCTATTGGCTATCATCATATTAATGAGGTTTGCAGCAAAATGCTGAAGAAATTGAACCTGACATGAAAATTGTTACTCGAACTTAACTGACATGTATTTATACTTGTGGATTTTCCTATTTGCAGACCCAACATCCCGCAGGGGCGGCGGCAGATGTTCCTGCGAGCAGTCAGCAACTGATGAAGAGGAAAGTCGTTTCTCTGCTGATGAACATGTAAGTGATGAAATCCAAATATAAATATTCATGTGATTGATTTACTTGTCTGGTAATGAGTGAACAAGTGTTATTACTTACAGACGCCTCATTCCCTAAGCATTGGAGAACCTGTAGAGGGAAGCATGCCAATTATACGAGATTGGGACAATCAGCAAACAAATGAAGAAGAGGAAACTCCTTCGTCTGTTCAATCTGTAAGTGACCAAATCCAGTATGAATATGTTCATTTCACAGATATACTTGTCTAGTCTCTCGTGTAACACACACAGTTACCGATGCGAGAGGATTATCGCAAATAGATATAGAAATAGAGAGGAGGGAGAGAGATACGAGAGTAGAAGCCTTCCTATATATGAGTCTTGTCATAAATTTCGACTCGTTACGTCAAGTAATTTTCCTTAAAATGTGGCCCTTGTTCATACCTCCCGGCCGTTTCCTCAATTTTTGGGTGGTGAATCTAACAACTAAATGGATTTTCACCATAGTGAGACCTTCCTATATATATAGCTACCATGGCCACTCATCATACTTCTTTAAAGAAGCAGTCTTTGGCATTTATAAAAGGGGTCTCTAAGCTCATTTAGTTGCTTGATAAAAAAAAAAAGGTCATTTAGTTGCAATTGGAAATCTCTCCCACATAACATATACACCATCAAGAGAGCAAGAAAGAGAGCTTAGAAGCAACCCCACACCCCACAAATATCTCGAGTTTCAAATTCAGCTATGGCTGGAAGTTAGCTTTTATTCATGTTTCTTTAGATCTGGACATGCTTTAGCGTTCATCATTGATCTTACAAGACCTGCTAATCTTTCCTTCCTTTGATTTCATGGATAGCTTTTCGGCCCTATATGGCCTACCTGCTAAGCTTTCTTCCTGGTTGCTTATGCAAGTGGACAGGATCGTAATAAAGTATATCAAAGTATTCAAGTGCAAAGATTTTGCCTATTCGATTTATTTTAATTTAGTAAAATAACAAGAGATAAGAGAAAATTATTTCAGTTGAGAATTAAATGGGCAAAAATTAACAAGTAAAAAAAATTTACTTATAATAATATGGAGATTTTTCAATCAATAGAAGGTTGGGGTTCCTGATTCACTCGATTATTAATTACTACCACCCTTGAATTGACTCTATATATCATTAACGTAGTGACAATTATTCTCAAGGTATTTTAATTATATTCTTTTGAAATCTAATTAAAGTCCTAATCAATCATGAAACTACAATTTTGAGTAGCCATAAATTTCTAAATCTATTTTTAGTTTAGTTATTCATGTCTATATTCTTATTCCAATTGGGTAAATTAGAAACACCTGATAAAAATAACAATAAATATTGCTTTAAAATCCTTAATTATAAATATAAATCATAAAGGAATTTATAAAGATAATTAAGGAGTAGAAAAGAATAATTAATTTGTGAAAAGTTTCTCAATAATCTTGCTCTCAATTTTCATGAAGCTTCCGCAGGCTCTAAATATGTTCAAGAAAATCTTTGAATCATTGAGATAAGTGGTTGGATGATCCCTCTCTTGCTAGATAGAAGTATCTGTTAGTTTAAGTAAGATTCTCCTACTTTCTTTCTTATCCACATGGGAATATATATATATATATATATATAAACCACCCGCACGGGCTTTCTTCTTATTGATATATATGTATGTATGTGTTTGGGCTAAAATATGAAACGTCGCTCAAATAGGTCACATGACTAGTTGGGTTGAGTAACTGAAAAGTCAAGCCCAATATGAATAAAGGGGTCGATCTCGAAGCTCAATAAGAGGCCATGATGGAATAAACATGTTGAAAGCCCGTCAGCTACAAACATTGAACCGTTGGCATGAAAAGTCACGATCTCAAGTAATACTGAAATCTACGAACTTTGTGCCCAAGTATCTTGGTGAAACAGGCTAATTACCAAAATGGAAAGCACAGAATAAAGATCGTGCCATAAATTTCATGAAATCTCTTATTTTTTGGCAAAAAGTGTTAGGTCTTAAGGGAGAGGCTACCACTACTCTGACATTATAAATAGAAGATAAAGACACAAAAGAAAGCAATTAACACTCAATCAAAGACTTGCATTTTTACACCTTTTAGCTTTTAGTTTTATCAGTTACTTGTGCTTTTAATTTAGACCTATAACTTCTCGTATTTAAATAAAAATCAAATACTTGTTCTACCAAAACTTTATATATCTTTTACATTCGAGTGATCTGTGGTAAGGGAGCTCGGGATCTTTTTGTTATTAATTGAGACTCAACGTCTTTGGCACGTCTGGTATTTGTTGTTCATCATGAACAATATGTATGTATGAGATTGTGTGTATATTTGTTTTACTTCACTATCGCTTGTGTAGCGTGAGACGTTTCAACTAAACTGCTTCTTCCTCAGATATATTTATATAGACATAGATAGATATACATATTCATTTGCTTTCCACGCAGCTTGTTTCTCATGTTATATACATATATTCTGTTTTTTATTCTGATGTGTTTATACTTGTCGATTTTCCTATTTGCAAACCCAGGATCCTGCAGAAGTTCTTAGGAACAACAACAACAAGCCTTTATCCCACTAGATGGGGTCGGCTACATGGATTGCAAGACGTCATTGTGCTCTATCATTTATCAAGCTTTTAGGAATATTATTAATTAAGAGATCGCGTTCAACAACTTCTAAGAGTGTTCTCTTAGGCCTTCCTCTACCTCTCTTAATCGGACTCAAAGTTATATGTTCCACTCTTCTCACTGGTGCCTCCCTTGGTCTTCTTTGTACATGCCCAAACCATCTCAACCGATTTTCTACCATTTTTTCCTCAATAGGTGCCACCCTCATTTTTTCGCGTACGTGCTCATTTTGAATTTTATCTTTACGTGTATGTCCGCACATCCATCGTAACATTCTCATGTCTGCTACTCCAACTTTATGCTCTTGCAGAAGTTCCTAGGAACAATCAGCAAAATAACGAAGAGGGAACTCGTATATCTGTTGAAGCTGTAAGTGATGAAATCCAAATATAAATATTCAAGTGATTGATTTACTTGTTTGGTTATGAACAAGTGTCATTACTCACTACTACAAAATAAGCTTACAGGAGCGCTTTTTTTTATCTTAGGGAGCGCTTCAAAAGCGCTCCCGTATCAAGCGCTCCGAAATGTACAGGAGCGCTTAAAAAAAGCGCTCCTGTATGGCGTCCATACAGGAGCGCTTTTCTAAAAGCGCTCCCGTAAGAAAGCTCCGGGTTGTATGGGAGCGCTCTCTCTAGGAGCGCTCTTGTATGATCTCTACAGGAGCGCTCCTGAATGAGGCGTACGGGAGCGCTCCTAAAAAGAGCGCTCCCGTATGCGCTTACCGGAGCACTCTCTTAAGGAGCGCTCCGGTAAGTTACTTTACAGGAGTGCTCTTTAAATGAGCGCTCCCGTATATTATATTTAATTTTTTTAAAATTAAATTTTTAAATTTCTCCTTTTACATATCTTTAACAATGGCAAATCATAATATTAAAAACTAATTTAAAAATAATATCAACATAAAAATTTATATACAAGAAAAGAATTTGAAACTGATACAACAATTTCAATTTTCTAACTAACCTAGTTTAATTTCTAACAAGCCTAACAAATGAAACTATTGTTATTTTTTTAACATTGAAATCTAACTTCCTATCACAAACAGTCAATAATATATTCTGACCATTCTTCAACTAAATCTTCTATTTGCTCCATAGTAAAATGCGAATCTTGCTCTAATAAAATACTACACAAGATATGAAAGCAATATATAAGTAATTAACATTATATTAACTTAATTTCAAAACTTTTGACTTATATTTTCAGGAATGATCAACTCTTGTTGTGTGATTACTTCTCTCATAAACTTCATAACATAGTATCCACACTCCCAACCTTGTAATTGTGTAGGTACCTATAAAACAATAAAAGATGTTATTATCAAAATATGGTAGAAATAAATTCTAACTTAATTTAAAATACTTCAGTGATGAAGTTATATAAATGATACAAGTATTTGCTGTCGAAAATCCGGCAGAGTCTCCCCTATAACTTGGAAGTTCCAGAATTTTTCAAAAATTTTACATCAATCCAGAACAACATATTCAGAATAAAAAACATAAAATATTAATCAAACAATCATTTAGATATGTACCAACTTTTTTTATTAAGAAAATAATACAAACCTTTATTCTTTTCCATGAATAAAACTCAACAGGATCAGGTCTTTCGGTGTTTGGAGGGAGACCTTCACCTCCTCGATAACGTGCTACAGCCCTATTATATAATGATTAAGTATACCAAGTAAAAAATTAATTGTTATAATAAACATATATAAAGAATATAGAACTAAAAACTTACTGATTAAATAATATTCTCATAGATTTGTAACTCTTAAAGTCACTATCTCTTAATAAATCAAAATAATAAATCATAGGGACGAATGGATTGATACAAACAAGCACCCAATGTTGCCTGAAAAATAAAATATTTCATTAACTAAAATATCAACTAAAGTTAAAAATAAACAATAATAACAATTTACCCTGGATTGTGAGGAGCTAAAAATAACATGTTTCTTTTGCCTTTGGCTTTGAATGCATCAGTAATCTTTTGAGAATGGTACTCAACATTGTAGGTACTAGTGTTGTGCGGGCTAATAAATGAAAATTTTGTTATCAATGAGCTCGGCACCACAAAAGTATGATATAAGTACCTAAAATGAAAACAAATAGAATCATTCACAACTAAAATTAAATAAATACCACAATAAGTAATAAAATTGAGAAAGTACCTGATGTATAAACTAATTTGTGTGGTTTGTAGCTAATCCTTAGTCAGAATCTCGTTAATATTTTCAGTTGCTAATTTTTCGCTAATTATTTCACCATAAATCTCTTTTTCAAATTCTACTTCACGGATCTCATTTTTAAATATTGTCTGCATAATCACTTCAAGTTCATTTTGATGAGGATATTTCAACTGAGTAGATTTTGTGCTGGTCTTCCCTGCCTTAGTCACAGAGGTAGATCCTTTTGACGGCTTTCCTTTCGCTTTGATTGGCTTCTTTACAACTTTTTTAAATTTTGAGGACTACAAAATGTAAAATGGATTGGTAAGGCCGTAAAAAAACATGAATGATTTTAAAGAACCATCAATTATTATACCTGTAACTTAATGAGCTTTGAAGGCCAAGCCACATAAGTTCCAACAGCATCAAAAATCGTGAATATATCCTCATCTTCTATTTGCACTGACAACTCAGCATCATTTTCTATTGGAATAGTTATAGTCACCTTTAAGTGATCAGCAGGCAACGGTCTGGAGTGTATAATAACACTATTGTCATTATACACAAATCCGAGTGCCACAACACGACAATGTGGTAATTCTAACCATAATTGACATTGAGACTCGCCTTAAAAATTAAAAATTAATATTTTAAAAAAATGTGAAGTATAATTTGTGAATAAAAAGAAGATAATAGAAAGAAAAATTATAACCTTAGGAAAGTCTTCTTTAGTATGGAAGGAGCAACTATCTTTATCACTAGGGCTACCTTGTGGCACATTTATAACTCCAATCATTTGCTCAAATCTCTTTTCCATTTGAGCTTGAAATTTTTTTCCATCCTCGCCTCCATTTCTGCCATCCTCGCATTAAAATTATCTTCAGTAAAAATTTTAGACCGACGTCCAAAGTAGGTGCCCTGAGAAATGCCAAATCCGACTCCTCTAACACGACTAGAGACCTCTGGAGCTCCCAATGCCTTACCAAGGACATCCACATGCTCCCCTACATCATCTTGTGATATTGATTGTGATATTGCTTCCTGTTGAATAAATTGTAAACTAATTATTAAGTAAATAATGTAAATAAAGTAATACACTAAAATATTAATACTCACACAATCCTCCCAGACTTTTCGAGTGTGTTCATCAGGTAATTTTCCTTCTTTATCTTCTCGAGCAGTCTTCCAAACAAGAGCTCGAGAAATTGGAGCATTAGGTCCAACTTCTTCCCTCTATTTAAAGAAGATATTACAATAATTAAAAAACATTTCCTTATATATATATATAAGTAATATCAACAGACGATATTAATTGAAACTTACCAAACCATGTTCAATATCTGGATAGCTCTTTCTTCCTGCTCTATATTGAAAAGGAGTACTCGCGGCTCTAGAGCGATTGACCTGGCTGATCTGTTGAAATTCAGGCTGTTGGTGCATTTTAATAAATTCATCCTAATGCTCTTGCTGGATCTTTGGATACATTTTAGGAGGATGAGGATTGAATTCTTCATTTGCATCTTTTAGATGATATGTTGTGAGGGTAGCTTGAAACTTTCTATGAGCATATGCTACTTTTCTCATGATATAATGCCTATGACTCTCATCCAAGTCAAAAGATATACACAAATCTTCCCATATATTATTTTTTGCTTCTTCAAGCTGTGGGTTATTTTTCTTTCTCCAGTCTGCAATGCAACAAGGAACATAATGACGAGCTAAGACCCCTATGTAACTGGCCAACTGAGGAGACTTAACTAATTGGCCCCTATCATTCCAATTTACTGGTAATTTACGACAAGCTGCTCGAGCCCGTATTACTGCTTTCATAACAGTTTTACCCCGTTTAACCTCCTTGAATGCTTCTTCTTCAGTGGGTAGAGCATCACCACTATTCTCAGGTGGGGTAGCCATATACCTGAAAAGTTTAGCAATAAAAAAAAATTTAACAACTAAAAATAAATTTTTAACAATTAAAAGAAAATTTAAATAAAGAACTTACAAGTGTTAAAATTTATTTTTTCTTTTTTTTTATTTTTTCTTTTGTGTGTTCTACATATCCCTCATCAATCAAAATCCCTTCAGCGTGATCTTCTCTGATATAGAAGGCATTATCCTCAGTTGAAACATCAAATGTTCGTGATGTTCCCATGAAAGGGTCATCCTCAACATTGAAATCTTCATCCTCTTCATTACCCACTATTTTATTTGTTAAAAGAACAATCGACCAATTTTTATGCGCTGGATCTGACACATAAAACACTTGTTGAGCTTGTGATGCCAAAATGAATGGTTTATCTTTATAAGCCACCTTATTAAGATCTACGTGAATAAAACCTAACTTGTCAATTCGAAAGCCATTTTTATTGTCAACCCACGTGCAACAAAAGATAGGTTCACGAAACATGATATAATCCAATTCCCAAATGTGCTCTATAATCCCAAAATATGACATCATTGCATAAATTGGGTTCTTGTCTTTAAAACTAGAGACATGCATTGATTGAGCTTTAAGCGTTACACCACTATTTTGCATAGTGCTCTGAGCATCTTGGCTTTTCGTATAAAATGTAAAGTCATTAATTACATAACCTGTATAAGAAAATACTTCAAATCCAGGACCCCTAGCCAAAAACCTCAACCTTTCTGATGGGTGAGACTCCTCAGAGATGCCAGCTCTAAACCAATACATAAAGTGCCGGTTGTGATATGTTGCTAGCCATGTTTCATTTTTACCTTTATTCTGACTCTTAACTATTGCCTTGTGTTCGTTGATATATGGTTGAACTTTCTCAGTGTTGTGTAAAACATACAAGTGAACTTGCTCCCATTGTGTCTTGTCTATGCTAATGAGTTTCTTCCTAATAATTCCACCCTGTTCACCTATGGTTTCTTTTGTGTACTTTGGCAACCCAATGGCATCCACATTAGAGAGATATCTAGTGTATAATTCAACTGCTTCTTTCATGATGTACCTCTCAACAATACATCCCTTGGGCCTACTTCAATTTTTTACATATCCTTTTAATACTTTCAAGTAATGCTCTACTGGGTACATCCATCTCAAATAAGCGGGGCCACACAACTTTATCTCTCTAACTAAGTGAAATGATAAACGAACCATGATGTTGAAGAACGAAGGCAGAAAATACATTTTCAGCTCGCTTAAAATCTTAGCTATTTTATGTTCTAGCTTTGGCAATTTTTCCGGGTCAATCATCTTGCTACAAATTGCCTTAAAGAAGAAATAAAATCTAGTAATCGTGGCTCGCACCTTCTTCAGCAAAATGGATCGTATACCAACCGGCAATAAATTTTCCATAATGATATGACAATCATGAGTCTTGAGACCTACTAGTTTGAGGTCTTTCATGGATACAAGGCTACTTACATTTGAAGAATATCCTTCTGGCACTTCAACTTCATGCAAGAATTCACAGAAAGCTAATTTTTCCTTTCTAGACAAGGTGTGAGCTGCTGGAGGTAAAAAAGTGTGTTTTCCCTTCCTCTCTGGTGCCAACTCTTCTCTTAACCCCTTGCTAATCAAATCCGTCCTTGCATTAATACCGTCTTTACTCTTTCCTGAAATGTGGAGTAATGTGCCAATAAGACTATCGCAAACATTCTTTTCAATGTGCATTGCATCCAGGAAATGCCTAACATCTAAGGTCTTCTAGTATGGTAGCTCAAAGAATATGGACTTCTTTTTCCAACCATTCTCAACAATCTTACTTGCAAATAGTTTTCCAAATTCAATATTTAAATCTTTGACCTTTTCAAAGAGCTTCTCACCAGTTAATGGCATAGGAACTCTACCCTTCTCCGAGTGGCCATTAAAGGCCTTCTTCAGTCATCGGTAATGATGTGTTTGCGGCAAAAACGTCGATGACCAATGAAGACATTCTTCCTACAATGTTCCAACCGCACTGAACAAGTGTGCTCTTCACATACTGGACATGCATCTCGTCCTTTGATACTGTATCCTGATAAATTGCCATAGGCAGGAAAGTCATTTATGGTGCCAAACAACATTGCTCGCAGGATGAAATGTTCTTCTCTATACCCATCATAAACTTCCACACTTGTCTCCCACAAAATCTTCAGATCTTCAATCAAAGGAGCTAAGTACACATCTATATCATTTCCTGGTTGTCGAGGCCCAAAAATCAACAATGACAGCATCATAAATTTGCGCTTCATGCACAATGCTGGAGGGAGGTTGTAGATCATCAAAATAACCGGCCATGTACTATGAGTACTGCTTTGCATGCCATGTGGGTTCATTCCATCAGTGGCTAGTGCAAGGTGTGAGTTTTTATCTTCAACCCCAAACTCAAGGTATATAAGATCAAACTTTTTCCATTGAGGAGAATCTGCAGGGTGCCGTAGCTTGCCATCCTTAATTCTCTCATCAGCATGCCATGTTAAGTGTTTAGCATCTTCTGCAATGCTGTATAGGCGTCTAAATCTTGTTATGATTGGAAAATACCACAATGCCTTCGCTGGGCTACATCCATTTCTTTTGTACCGTGATGCATCACATTTTGGACACTTATCTAAGGTTGAATACTCTTTCTGAAAGAGGACACAATCATTTGGACATGCATGTATCTTCTCATAGCTCATCCCAATAGAACAGAGCACTTTTTTAGCTTCGTAAGTATTAGGTGGAAGCTCGTTGTACTCAGGTAACATTTCATATAAGAGTTCAAGCAAATCCGTGAAACTCTTATCGCTCCATCCATTCGCTACTTTTTGGTTGTATAGTTTCAAAATAACTGATAGTTTTGTGAATTTTTTACAATCGGGGTATAATGGTTTATCAGCATCACTCTTCAATCTCTCAAACATCTCAGGACAGTTCCTAAGATCCTCTTCAATCACATCAATCATTTCATCAAGACGGTCAACATCATATATCCCACTATCACGATTAAATGTTGAGTAGCTCGCACTATCCCTCCAATCACTTGCATTATTCCTTGTCTCCACATGCATGGTCCAACAAGTATAAGTTGGATCAATCCCATTACATATTAAATGATCTTTCAATTCTATTGGCTTTACTCTTTTTCCATAGCAACATTTCAAACAAGGACATATGACTCCACGGGGGTCTTGATCACGACAAAATGCAAATTTAATGAATTCATTCACACCATCCCAATATTCTCTAGATAGTCGATTAGCCGACATCCACTTATGATCCATATTACTAATATGATTACCAAAATTCAATAAATAAAAGACTTAGATTTCTATAAAAAAAATTCAACAGCAACTTCCTTAAAAGAACAACCTCCCAAATGATCAAACAATCAAATTTCACAACACAATACATTTAAACTAAAAAAATCAATTCATCCAAATAAAAATTTAGCAGCATAATGCATCTAAATTCTGTCAATCAATTGTAATTTAATTAATAACAATAATCTCTCTTAAAAGTATATTTCATAAATAAAATAAAAATGTTCAAATAGATTCCTCAACTTTAATCTAAATTATCAACTACAATATAAATTATCAACTACTCCATAATTTTAATATAAATAACTTCAATTCATATATTATCTATAATATTGATTATTAAAAAAATATTTGAAATCTATTCTCAAATATATATAAATTAATTATTAAAAAAATACCTTCAAAGGTCTTCACGGCAGAAAATGGCGGTATTCACGGCAGCAGCGACGTTGCTTCCTCCGCTGTACAGCAGCGACACAGATCTACAACAGCAATGCAGATCTGGAACAGAGATGCAGATCTGGAACAGTGATTCAGATTTGGAATAGCAGACAGCAAACAGCAGAGCTAGAAGGACGGCAGTGGCAGCAGATCGGCGAAAATGGCGACGCAGCGTAGCACAGGAACGGCGACGGACGGTGACGCAGCACTGGAGACGGCGATGCAGCGTGGGAGACGGCGACGCGACAACGACGTAATGTGGAACAGCGATGCAGTGCGGAACGCAGAACGGTGACAGAACGTGGAACGGCGATGCAGTGTGGAATGCGAAACGGCGACAAAATGCAGAACGGCGATGCAGTGCGAAATGGCGACACAGCGCGGATCTGCGACGGACGGTGACGGACGGCGAGCAGCACAGGAGACGCGACGGAGAAAAGAATGGTTTGAAAGAAAGAGAGAGAGGTTTGAAAGAAACTGAATGAAGAAAAGAAACAGATGGGAAAATATAAGAGGCTAGAAGACTCTTCCGGAGCGCTCTTCCATGAGCGCTCCGGAAGAGCTCATCTTTGGGAGCGCTCGTCAAAGAGCACTCTGGAACAGCACTCTGCCAAGGTCCATAAGCAATCTTCCGGAGCGCTTAAGTGCGAGCGCTCCCGAAGGTATTTTTAAATTTTTTATAACATTTTATATATATCAATTAGGAGCGTTATCTTATTGATAAGCCTAACATACAGGAGCGCTTATTTAGAAAAGCGCTCCAATAAATTCCACATTCACATTTTAGAGCGCTTATTTAAAAAGCGCTCCTAAAGACCCGCTCCTAAAGATATATTCTGTAGTATGACTTTAAGACAGACGCAACATTCCCCAAGCATTGGAGAAGCTTCAGGGGAGAGCAGAGTAAGCATATCAAAGCGGGAACGTCCGCAAAGTAATGAAGGAAAGGGAAGTCGTTGGTCCGAGGAAGCTGTAAGTGACCAAATCCAATTAATATAAACAATGTTGATTTGTTGAAGAGAGTCTTTGAGTGTTGTGGTAATGGTCTGAATTTGATACAGGAATCCAGGAACCAATATGAGGTTTCATCAGGAAACGCCGATGTCGCAATGGAAAACGGCTGGATGCAGAGTAATGCAGTGCAAGGCCTAAGGTGCTGCTCTCAAACACACTTTTCCTACGCTGTTTGTGCTTAATATTTAGACTCACGGCACTGATAATTGAGAGTAAAATTTTTGCCAGGAAAACAGAATATTTTTAAATAATTTTAAGATGCATGCAAGCCTTTAAACCTTGAAAAGTAAAATAGGATGCATAGAGTTGAGTGGCTTGCTAATTCTTGTGTTACTCGAGTCTATGCATCGTTGTAGGTAATTAACAAGAAACAAAATAAGATTGGATGAGTGGACGCATGGGTTTATAAAGACATTGATAGCATTATAAGGGGAAGGGTAGAGGGTAAGAGAAGGAAGCTCCAATATAAAGATGGTAAGGTTTGAAAATGTATATACAAGGAAAATGGGTGATGGTATGATGAACTTAGATATGTCTTACTGTGGTTGGTGGGCTGTAATATCATTAAACAGAAGAGGAGGGGAGTGTAGTGAGGAGAAGGAAATGAATTAAGAAAAGTTGGAGTAACTGTGTTACGATGCTGTGCAGGAGGAGGCCGGGGAGGATGGCGCGTGAGATTGAAAACGTGGCAAGCAGCGTTGGAGATACTCCTGAGCGTAGGCGCTGCCAGGTGGCCCTCCCTCTTTTTTTTTTTTAATCAGTGATTGCATTTGGGGAAAGGTTCACCTTTGCCGCCGTCCTCTGAAAAGCGCCCCGTACCTCATTCTTGTCCCCCGGAGTCTGAACCCTTGACAGTGACAATTATATTTTTATTTTTTAAAATATATGAAAGTCTTTGTCTCATCTTCCAACACGGTTCTCACATCTGTCTACAACTTTGCATCCCTCTAGTTCTTCCTCATCAGATGAAACGCACCCCGCCTTTCCCAGTGTGTGTGTGTGTGTGTGTTTTATAGTATCATAGAATTAAAAATATTTCAATATATTTAAAACAAATACTGTTGATATTATGATATAAATTATAGTATATAGTTTATTATAGTATGTATCTTATTTTTCTTGGGATAGTGCATGCAGGGGCGTAGTCAAAAAAAATTTTAAGAGACCAAAATGATAAAATATATATAATAATAAAAGGAAAATTAAATCTATATATGTCATTGATATAATATAAATATTTTAACATTTATTTTTATATTCAATTTTATAAATATATAATTAGAAGAAATATATATATATGCGCATACTCCTTTCGTTAAAAAATAAAGTTATTTTTTGAAGAGTTGGATGTTCAAAAATGTAAGTTATTTTTAGTTTTTTAAGGTGTAATCATTGTCTTTTTTTCAAAAGTGTTTCTATTGATAGTAATTTTATATTTATTATAGGGTGTTTAATAGGAATAAATATGAAAAGATATGGTTAGTTTGAAAGTAGGTAATTACTTTATTAGAGAGTGAGATTCGGTTAAAAAAGTTTTACATTTTTTAAGGAGGGAGTATATTTTAATTTATAAGAGGTGAGATTTAAAAAAAACTATTTATATTTTAAGATATGCATAAGGTAACATATTGCAAAATAAAAATTACTGCATAGATTTTATTTTATGCGAGATAGTCAATAATGGATGTAGAAATATTTCTTAGGAATTTTTTTTTCTTTAATTTAATTATGGTGGGAAGAACTCAATAAGAAATATACGTTATAAAATTAATAGATTAAAATAAAAGAGGGTGGAAAATGTCATAAAAGGTTGGGTTGGAGTTTTGTCGATTCTTATTTTATCATCTCCGCAATTCACATTTGTTGGCGTGGGGTTCTTGAACTGGCTGATTCAAATTAATTGGTAAGGTTACATCTTTCACAGAGGAAAAGGCAGGCATTTGGCACGTTTATTTATGAAATATGAATCCATAAAAGCAAATTGTGAAATGTGAATCCCGTTATATAATTGACAATCAATAAACATGGAAGCAAGCCGAATGACAATCCTGTATCTAGATCGAAACTAAAGCATTGGTTTAGTAATTGTCAATTATCTCTTTATAAATATTTGAACTACGTTAATCTGGCTGAAGCAAGCGAAGGAAATTATATTAGTGAGGCTAAAATGATAAAACATATATAGTAATCGAATCAAAACTGAATGTATATACATCACTAAAATAATTTAAATATTTTAATGTATATATTTATATTTAATTTTGAAAATATATAAAAATATATATAACTTTATTTTTTTAAGTTTTGCTCATGGATTTTGTGTGATATAAGAATAATTAATTATTTTATCTAACTTTTTTCATTATAAATTGTTATTAAATTGGCAAAAATTTTATTTTTCCCATAAACATTGAATGATTTAAATGTATCCTTAAAATTTAAAGTTCTATTTAATTTTAAAAAAACAATTTTACTTGTTTACTGAATTTACTATTTAATTCTTTTAATTGTTAATTATAGTAAATAAATATATCAATACAATAATGATACTAAATTATCACAAATTCTTTATGTTGATGATAGCTAAGTATATAATAGTAAAAACCATTTATATAATAAATTTTACTCCTTTCATTCAAAAATATAAGATATTTTTAATAGAATCTCATCTCCCAATAAAGTAGTTACTTATTTTTTAACTAACCTTATATTTTCATATTTATCACTATTAAACACCTTACAATAAATATAAATTTATTAGGCACTTTTAAAAAAAGGCAATGATTACATCTCGAAAGACTAAAAATTTCTTACATTTTTAACATCCAACTCCTCAAGAAAATACCTTATATTTTTTAACAGAGTGAGTAATAGTTTGATTATTATAGAAAAAAATAATTTTTTTAGAAAAACATATATTAATTATAACATCTTAATTTTTGGATAAGTAATTTTATATTAGATATCAAATACATATTCTCTCTGTTAAAAAATGTAAAGCATTTTTTAAGGAGTTGGATGTTAAAAAATGCAAGACATTTTTAGTCTTTCGAGATGTAATCATTGCTTTTTTTTTCTTCAAATGTGCCCTTATTGATAGTGACTTTATATTTATTTTAGGGTATTCAATAAGGATAAATATAAAAAATAAGGTTAGTTTGAAAGTAGGTAACTAGTTTATTGGGGGTAAAATTAGGTTAAAAATGCTTTATATTTTTCAATGGAGGGAGTAGTATTCAATATATTTTAGAATCTTTGTTGCAGTGCTTGATAAAATTTATTAGTAATAATTCTTATAATTTTTTTATTAAATATAAAATAAAAGCAAAATCAAATGACATCAATATTTTAAGAACAAATGTAGCATTATCTTGTTAAAAATAAGTGAATCTTATAAAATTATATCTTTTGCCATTCTCACCATGGGTTCTACTTTTGCGTTGTTCTCCTTTGCTCCTCCTATACTTTCTTCATTCTTCTATCTGAGATTTTCCCCCTCAGATTTTTCATATTTGATTTTTCTTTAGCTTTTCTAGATTCCATCCATGTTACGCAACATCCCAAAATTTAATTCAAAATTAATTAAGCTAATTAAGAAAAAATGTGTAATTTTGGAGAAATGTTTAGAGAGAAATAATTTAGTTAGGGAATTATTATTTGAATCTAATCTAGAATAAAATCCAAATCTTAAGTTATGATTTTTTTTAGAAAATAGAAATAATAATAATAATAATAATAATATAAAAGAAATGGGATATAAAATAAAAAAAATAAGAAGGGGGTGAGCATTCGATCTATTCGGTCGGTTCGATTTAAATTTCTCTAAAATCGATTGACCAAATTATATAAAAAATTTAGATCAAATCGAATCGAAATATATAACCAAACTAAATTAAAATTGAATTGAATTTTAATGGTTTGATTCGATCGCTTTATTTGATTCATAGGCTTTGATTTGGGTTTATAAAGTCTAATTACTCATATATTCTTTTATCTAATTTTTTCCCTTGATGTTGAAGGCCTAATAAAAAATAACAATCTTATACCATAATTTATGAGAAAATTAATAAGATTAAATACTATTGCACTAAAAATTAAATTATAGAAATAAAAATTAAAACATCACATTAAACAAAAAAAATGCTACTACCGCAAGTAGTAGAAAGATGTTTCTTACTTATCTAGATAAGAATTTATTCACATTTTTTAAAATATTAAAAGAAAAATATGGATAATTTGATCGGTTGGGTTGATTTGATTTTAAAATTCTCAAATTGAATTAAACCGATCAACCAAAACTTTCCTTAAAAGAAAGCTGAATTGAACTAAAAATCAAATAAACCAAATTAAATAAATAAAATTTAATTTAATTTAGTTTAATTTTTGATTTTGATTCAGTTTTGTTTATTCAATGGGACAGATTTTGTATGTATGTGTGTTTGGTATATGTTTAAAAAAAAACAAAGAAAGAAAATAAGGAGGGAACGAATGGAAAAAACGTGTGCGCGTGCGTGTGATTTAAGGAAAAGAGAGAGAGGCGTGAGACGTGGGACCCACATTTTGTTTTTTAAAACCAACACACACCTCCTGCCTTTTCATTTCCCTTCTTCTTTCTTTTCATTTCTGCATATGCAAACAAAGAAAGAGCGAGAGTGAGCGCGGTTGACGCCAGCGACGGGACTAATTTAAGAGATGGAGCTTCATAATAGAATATTTTAAATAATATTTTAAATATTTTAAAATTAGGTAAGTATTTTAAATTTTTTTAACAATATTTTCTCTTAAGTTTCAAAATTTGGAGTTATGAAAAATTTAAAGTTTGAAATAGGAATGAATTTTTAATAAATAAATATGGCTATTGAGGTTGTTGGTAATATAATACATATTCTAGAGTATTGTTTTGTTGATAGAATTAAAATTTGAAGCCTTTGAGTTTATCCCTAAATCTCTATAGGTAAATTTTTTATTAAATCTAAAAATATAAATTGATTTATTGATATTTAAATGATTATTTTGGATGAAAAATAAATTATTATGCTATAAAATAATGATTTTAGGCTTGAAACTAAGTTTACAATTTTTGAATATTTTTATGTGCAAATTTTTGGAATAAAAATAGAAATTTTGATGTTAGAAATTGTTTGAATGATAATTTTAGCCAAATTTCAATAAAATTATTGTTAATGAGGCTATTAAACTAAGTAGATAGATTCAAATATATGAAATTAAATTTTAAAACTCAAGAGGTTAAGACTAAGGTCTTAAAAAATAAAATAAAATACAATAAATACTTAAGTGTTGGAATATGAGTGAAAATTATGTTAATAATATTATTGACACATTGTGATGTGATTTAAATGTAGATTAATTGTCATTAAGCACCAATTAAGCTTTGGAATTGTTGTAATTTGAGTGGTAATTTTTGACCTCTCAAAGGTTGAGGTAACTGGGAGAAATCTATTTTATATATTTGTGTGTTAATTAATTATTTATCTTTGTAACACAAATAAATATGTGTGTATATATATATATCTATATCCAAATCTTGAAATTATTATTTGTAATGTATATGTAGCTTTGTTGAAACCCTATAATTTGTAACCAAGTTAATTGTAACTTAATATAAGTAATAAGATTGATGGTTGATTATGATGTGTATGCTCTTGATTATAAATTGTGGATTATGCATAGTGATAAATTGTGTATGAGCATGTTGAGTTTTATATGATGCTAATGTGATTTATGTAGTAATATAAAAATTGATGCAACAGGCATGATTGAAATATGATGATTCTTGATGCTTGTTGAGCAAGAAAGTTGATGAGCATGTAGGATAACTGTGAATTATATATATGAGTTTTTGAAATGCACTTTCTCACAAGCATGATCATATGGCGAGAGTTCGCCTTAGAGAAGGAACTAGCGATTATGCAAAATCTATATGGTACTTGACTATTAACTAATAATCCTAGAGGTTATAGTCACTACTTACCT